TAATGAGACTATTTTCCATATTATTACCATCAAAGTAATACGGTAATTTGTAATCTCACTGTTATCTTGAAATGATTGAAAAAAGAAAAGGTCAGCTCATTTAAACATATATGATGTAATAGAATGGAAGCACTCAGTGAGTGAACGAGTGATTTGATACCTTTTTAACTTTTTGTCTCTGTTTGTTCACAGATGCACTTCTCAGTGTCTTTCTCATTTCACTTTCTGTCCTTCTTGAGTGTGAGTGTAACCCTTGACCCCAAGTAGCAGTTTTATTGTTTGCATTTTTGAACTCGACTTTCTTACTTGAAATATATTTAAAAAGTTTTATCAAATTATGCACCGAATCAGAATGGATTAAAAGTTTTGATAGCAATCTGACAAAAATCAGCAAAACACTTCAAAAACATCATGATAATATCAAAAATCTCTGATGTCATCGAAAGTCATCTCTATTCACATTCTCATGCATTTTCATTGCCGTTTTTGACGTTATTACCGCTTTATCTCTTTTAGTTATCTTCATTTCTGATTATCTCTTTAATCCTAAATCATATCTTGCGCTACTTCTTCTGCCATAACTGTGTCTGATTATTTTTACTTCGTGAAACTTTTTATTTAATCTAATTGCTGGCAAATCAAGGTTTGATATTGCCGTTTTATACTGTATCAGTTCTCATGTAGCATTCTTCGATTGAATTATGCATTGCTGTGCTTTTCACTTTTATTGTAATCCGAAACTTCATTTTTTCTTCACTTCATAAAGTAAAGCTAAGAAGCTGAGTTCGGAATAAATTTATTTACTTACAACATTTTTTCTAGAGTTTTGTCAGTCCGTTTCTTTTTCTGGTAATATTTTATGCCAGAATGGCAACAGTGATAGTAATAATAAAATAATAATAATAATAACAATAATAATAATAATAATAATGGTGCTTGGTGGTAATAACAGCAAAGTCATTAAGAATGATATAAAAGTTGGGATAACAGTATTGTTGGATTGAAAAAATGTAAGTCAATGAGCACTGAAATACACTTTAGTGGAGACACGAAGAGTAGAAGGCAGTTAAGGTTTTAGCAGAACATACGGGAAGACTTAGATGGATGTATGCTTGCCTTAGCCAACCTTTATCATCGGTTCAGACCTTCCTAGCAAAAGTATAACTTTTTCAATAATGGTATCTAAAAGCAGATTTATGGCTCAAGCAAGCTAAGGCTCATTGCTGCTGCTCGAACTACGGAATATATCTCACATGCTTAAATATAGCCTCGAAAATTACCGAGTGAATGCATCCCTTTACTGTTCTATAAAACTTTATACTAGTATTTTAGCGAGTGCAATCCTGCCAGTGCCTGACCTCTAACATCTGATTTTCCTCTTTTTTTTCCTGAAAACATCATTTTTATTTGCTTACGTGTCACGTGCAATATCTTTAACGAGTCATGTTCAAAAAGTAAAAATTTGCTAGTTTATACGTGTCTGTATGTTTAGCAATGACGTATAGTCTTCCATTTGTCAGATTTAATTTCTCATTACGTGCTTAAATATTAACACGCTTATCTTGAAAGGTACGAGTTATTATTTACATTCAAATCATATTCTCAAGAAAAACGTCTGCATATTCTTTGGTTCTTAATTAAGGTGTTAATTCATTGAATATAACGTTAAAATTGTCTGATTTGCTTTTTACTCTGTTTTTCTGCATGCCACAAAATAGATCACTGTTTGAGCTGTCTTCTTGCATCTGCTCTTTTGTCGAGGAGAAACTTAATTTGCATAAATGAGTAGCAGCGGAGCAGAATATGTGTGGTACAGTTACCCAATATTACTAAGGTGAATTTGCTTTGGTGAATATTCCAGTCACGAAAGTAATTTCAGGAATGAACTTAGGATGTTTGTTGTTCTTAAATCATTTGCATTACTGCTTCGTTAAGTTATAAATGAGTAGTTGTGCAGGTGTCCTATCTGCAGGTCAGGATTAGCCAACTCAAGGGTCATAGTTCTAGTAAACTGCACGAAAGAGAACAAAGTCCTTGAGGGGAATTATTTAAGTCAGAGGTCAGGGGATATTGGCAGCTGAACGAACTTTCTCATATGCAAATTACGGAGGGGCGGAGCACTAACTTTATTGAGGGGTTAAGTAAAGTTACTCATACACGGCTGGTCGTTTCCTTCCTCTTATCCCCTACTTTCTAGAAATTTGCATCTAACATCTGCCACAATATATCCTCGTTCAAACTCAAATCAAGTTGTCGTCTGCCAGCTGTCGCATTTTCCATCATTGCCACAATCTCACCGCCTTTTCCACGCACGTATACTCACTCACACACGTGTACACTCAGTTTGGATGCATTCATTCATTTGTTTCAAATTCATTAATTCGTAGTTGTTAATTTCAGTTATTCATTCTTCTCCAGAAGTAAAGATATAGACATGCTCAAAACTATACAGTAAAATCGGAAATGGTATGCAGTGTAACAGTTTCTACTGCTCAACATTTTCACTTAATTATTATTTGTTTAAATTGTTTTAATTCTTTCTGTCTTTTTCTTCGTTACATTTATTCATTTTTGATATTTTTTTACCATCTTATTTACTCGTTGCAAAAATGTTACAATTTGCGTTTTCACGCAGTCAGTTTTCTATTAACTAACAATTTTTCTTTAAAATTTCTTCGTGGTACTTTTAGGCATTCAAAAAATATAGCAGACAAAGAACTGATTGAATAATGTTTCGCTAGCTGTCACTTTAAAGTTTTGTACTACAAACCACGTAGTGCTACACTGCAAAGAAGTTTTTTTCTCATAAATCTATATCATACTTCTTGATTTACTTTCTACTGTAATTGTATGTCATTTGTATAGGCTAAACGTAATCATAATGGAAAATTAGGGAATGCTAATGACCTTATTAGTCTGCAAAAGTTGATACGACTAGTATGAAAAATAGAGAATAATGTATATGGGGTCAAAGGTCATCTGCTGTTCACACTGCAAGTTCTATTATATCAATATTTGTATGTTTTAACAGAGTATTTCGTACTATGATTTACAATTGAGCAGTTATATTACTAATAGTGCTCTCGTCACCAGGCCGTTTTGTAAATGATGTCGAAAAACGTTACGATGTGAATACTTGTGGGGCTCAGTGAAAAATATTTAAACCCTTAAAAGATCTCTGAACAACCGCCTCCTTGTGTCAGTTGAAGGAGACAGTATACGATTTAGGGAGGTGAGAGTATTGAGTGGATGATTTATTATAGGGAATAGAACTGAATTGTAGATCGGAGATGTTTCTACATTCATCATTACTTTATTTCTAAAAATATTTTGGCGATATCACATTTCATTTCATTGTGTCAGGTTGAATATGGTATTTTCTGTTCTTGTGGTGAAATATTGTGCTTCTTTTCGCATGTCCATCGAGAAGTCCTAATGGAACGAAAGAACCAATTTGGCACGATTACTTTGATATGAAGACTTAAAGTGAACTTGGAAATGCAGTAGTTGTATGAGATTTATTCACTTGCTGTGAATAGTGTTCGGGTGATGTAAGTTGGTAACTTATTGGCCAAAGGTTGAGGTCGAAAAATAGAAAATCAATTACAGCGCATAAATAAATAGCTTTGCCAAGGCTGCTCGATTTTTTGCATGTGTCGAATTTTGACTTTTTTCTGTCTTTGAAAAGATTGCCAGAGGGGAACAGGTGGCTGTTACCGTAGTTTCTGGCTTATTGAATGACATAATTGTGGCCAAGTTGCATATCATATACTTGAAATTTTTGACCGAAGTGGTGGTAATAAGGCATTAAGAGTGAGAAACAAAGGAGAAAGCATGCTCACATGAGTTGAACTTTTTGTCTAGATAGTGAGCAGAGCAAAGTAAATAAGTACATCATTTCGCTTCTCTCGCTGCATGTAGATATTAAAAGTGTGATCTTATCATTTTATTTTTCTGCAGAAGCTATAAGTTGGATATTGTTATTGCTGTGTTTAACCCTTCATTCCAAAAGAATCCGGAGAGAAGTTAAGGTTCAAAATTTTCATTGTTGATCTATCTATCTCTTACTTTGGATTTTAACGACAAGTTTCATTTAGCTTTCTTCATATAATATGCAAAGTGCAACTAGCAGATAGAATTACGTTTGAATATTTACCGTGCACGCTGTAACATCATGTAAAGATAATTATAAATAATTTTTGTTTGCACTTGTGAAAGTTATCATGGCAAGAAATGAAAGCAAAGTGTGTATAGGCATTGAGAAACAGTTAATCAACGTCATCGACTTACGTATGTACTGAAAACCTCATCGACATGGTTCAGTACTCATTTGTGAACTGAGAAATCTTCGTCAGTATCATTTTCAGTCCACCGAAATGTGACGTGTGTTGAGGTGTAGTTATCGTGTACTAACGAACTGCTTATTCTCACTCTGAACGAGTTGTTCGGAAATTCTTTTCTTTGTTGTTTGCACCGCGGCAAAGTCAAGAAACTTTTTTGCAGTTCGTATCTTATCACATTCCTTATGGTGATCGTTGAAAGCCCTCATCTCTTTCTCTGCTTAATTTTTTCGTTTAGCTCACTCGCATTTGTAATTTGTAATTTTCCATCCAATACATTACAACATTTTCCTTGTTCTGTAATTACTGCTATGTGCAGTTCATAAGCTTCAGTTTTCGTTTTTGTGCGTAGTTCTTGATATTATTTTCCGCTGATTACAGTACAGAAATTGCAACTTTTCGGAAATATGAGATTGTTTTGTAATTTTTTCATCCACGTTGCATGCTGGTTACTGCCATTTTTCGATTAATGTGCGCATGAGAAGAGAAACTCATCATTAGTGTATTATGGAAATTAATTTTAGTCCAGTGCTTGTAAATTCGTATGAGTTTTGATATTCCAGACTGACAACTTTACCGTACTATTTACTTGCAGCGCTGCGAAAATTGCATCATCAGATTTCATCAATCGTCAAGGATAAGTGTGAAAGTTCAACTAACATGCGTAATGCTTCCATGAATCAATTTGAAGGTGTTGTGAATATACGAGAACCATGTGCGGTTGGACAATACTCTTCTGTAAATGAAGGTTCAGTGGGTTCGCATGAGGTTCGTACAAATATCCGCTTGGATAAATATGAAGATTGTATGGAATCATGTGAAGATTCACCTTCTGCTTCTGCATTTCTATCATTATCATCTCGAATGAGCTGTGATGGAAATAATTGTGGCTCTGTTAATAATGTTGACGATAGTGCTCGTGACGATAATTATAACGATTCGAGATCATTATTTTGTGATTCGATTAAAGAATCGGACATTTGGTTACGTGCTTGTGATAGACACTCGTTGTTGGTAGGTTATGAAACCACTGCTTCTGCGACTTCAACTACTACTGGTTTAGGTCCTCCATTGATTACGAATAATAAGATTCTGCTATCCTGCAAATGTAGTGATCTTCAAAGGTCGGAAAGAGATAGCATAAAAATTAGCTGTGAGGCTGAAAATAATTGCAGTACCAGAAGAAAACATCGTCGGAAACCTGATGGTTCATTTTAATTTTTTGCATTCCTGTTTTCAGTTGCATTTTACACTAGCTTTTCGTTATTATTATTATTTATTAATATTATTAATGTTATTGGTGTTATTATTATTACTACTGTTACTGTCAATGTTATTAATACCGTCTTGATACTGCTATGGGGCACTGTAATTATTTTTTTCGACTTAGCAATGAATAATGATTTATTTGATGTCACAATTAAAATCTTTGTAGATCCATCTATAGAGTATTAGGTGGTAAGACAATGGCGTATGTTTTGTTTGCCTTCTTATCCTTTAGCAGTTTTTAAGTAAATTGGGTGAGGATAAGGAAATTGAGTGCTTCGGAGGATAATTATGGGAAGAGATAAGCAAGTTTTCGGTCAAATTCATGGCTCTCTCTGTCGCTTCATTTATGAGCTCATTTACCGAATTACTTAAATCGGCTTTTTGATTATTTTATGGAAATTGTGGAATGCCAGTGTCAGATTATTAATCTTAGAGTCAATTATGTAGATTTGGTTGTTCTTGAAGGAAGAAAAGGATTTTTTTTTGAGTTATACATTTGGGCTCAGCTGATTATTTATAACTAATGTTTTAATAAGAAATCAAACATTTTAAGCTTCGCAAGCGACTGCAACTTTTTTGCGGATTGTTGTGAATTTAAAAAATTAGTTCAAACAAGCAATCATCTGTTCTGTTTCCCAACTGCTATGAAGTAAATGTAAATTTTGCATTCAGATTTTCATAGCGGATATGAAATTTTGAGCATGAAAACTATTCTAGCCTAGATGAAATAACCACTTTTGGTTGGTAAATTTTATGGGATATCAATTGTAGAATATCATTTATTCCACAATTTAATTACTTATTCGATTCCAATTTTAGTTCTTGCTTTGATTTAATGATATCTATTAAAAGTAGTGATGGATGCATGAAGCAGGTGTTCTAAATGTATAGTTCTCTCATTTCCATCATTTATTGAGCTTTAAAACAGTGACCATTTGACTACTGCTGACCTTCTCTCAAGGTCAACTTTTCTTGATTTAACTTTCATCTGTGTTTTTTACATGACGATTAATTCGTTTCTCTCGCTTTCTATCAAGGTATCAGTAGTAATAAGGCGTATAAGTCAATTTAAGAAATACTGAAAAAAGATTTCAGGGCTGACTATAATGCCAAAATATGTAAATGAAATAAATAATGATATTGTCATCTGGAGATATCGTATAATATATCAATTAATATGCAAGTATTGTTTTAGTCATTAGTATGCAAATATTTGCGTTAAGCAGACTTTCAACTAAAAGTTAACTTCATCTCGTTTATTAATCAAGAAATGAAATGTGCATCATTTCATCAGGATATCCAAAAAATGTCTATCACATTTGCTCTTTTAGCGTCCGAGGCAATTTATCATGTAAAGATCAATTTTAGATGCGATTATAATGAAGCTGAACTAGACGAGGATTTATTGTCTATTTTTTGCTTTATTTGCAATTTTAGAGTTTTGAGTTTAAAAAAATTTCAAGCTGAGACCATTGGAACAATATACATTTAACTGTACAGTATTCTAGCAAATAAGTTCAGCCAAAAACAGTCAGTGGAAAGCATATCATAGATATCTATTTTCTTCATTCTTTCATATCACAATAGAGCTTAGAACTGAATAAAGCAAAGAGAATAAGAATTTTTTGTAGAAGCAAATTCATCTCTATCAAAGTTGAAAGGGACAAATATATATAAGACAACCTGATATTTCAGTGAAGAGTATCGTTCGTATTGTGGCGCAGTTGACTGAAGAGCTAGAAGATACAAGCTGTGATAAAATTGCCGACAAAATTTCCAGTAAAGACAATACGGAGAACATCTCCTGTGATCAGCATCAAATTAAGTACTCTCCTTGCAAGCCTTCAACATCACATTTATCCAAATCTACAAATATTAGCTTCACTTCACCCTTGCTTGGTCCACCTGAATTCAGGCAGTCTCTTCCCTTGCGTATTGATTCTTTAGCTGATTTGGCGTTTACTCAGATTAACAAAGATTACGTGAAACGTAAATTATTATCTGAACATAATACTGATTTGTATTCTACACAAGTTATTTCTGAATCAACTTCAGTCGTCAGTGCAGCTACTACTATTAGTACTGCTACATCTGATATTGGTACGGATACTAGTAATAGTATTACTAATCGATCAGTTGCCTCGTTCTTATCCGTACCTCATCCGTCTTTGAAAGAATCATTTACCGTATCTACTACATCAGTGGACGCAAGTCTGGAACCGAACTTTTCGCGATCGGGAATGTCATTCCCTCCATCTCTGATACCTGCCGTATCATTTCCCTCAAGGCTACCGAATCGTAACGGCACGTTTTTCAGTTATTAGCTCTTTTCAAAGTAATTATCAGTGACGAAGCAACAATTTTAGTTTAATTTTTACAAGAATTGGTAAAAATCGTGTATGAAAAATGATTGATTGAATAAATGGTTTGTTGAATAGTATGTACTATGTCGATTTTTATCCTGGAAAGAAAAATAAATCATTGTAAAATTGTTACGCTGATTTCTGATTTTACAACTTGATTATGGAGCATTTAGTTGCTGTGACAGTAAAAATTTGAGATTGGACTTACTTGTTTATTATAATTGCATAATGTTTGCATCTCACTGTTTATTCCTAGCAGTCATTATTAGTGTATCAAGACGAAGATTGGATAAGTTACTTTAATTAATGCAAAAGGAAGTACTAAAAGTGCACGAGATCTACTGAAAATATTTATAACTGACATGAATTTGTATGACCTCTTTACAGCCTTTGAACTATTTGCAGAATCGGGAAAACTGTCCTGCCCAACGCCAGGTTGCGACGGCTCAGGTCACCAGACAGGCTTGTACTCGCATCATCGAAGTCTTTCCGGTTGCCCTCGACGTCCCGATAAGTCAACAATTCAACGTATGTTTTATATACAACCGTTTCATTTCAAATTAAATTTGGCAATTTATTTAGAAAAGCACGCATAATTTTTTAGAGTGTTCTGAAGTGATTGTTATAATATATCATTCTTAATGTACAAGGGTGTTAATTTATTGCGATCATTGTTGAAATTTTGAAATTGTTTCTTAATCATTCAAAAACTATCTTTGATAGAAATAAGTTATTGACATCTTTCTTTTGCTTTCATAATTATAGTCTACTTTCCGCTTATCTTATTTTAAGATGAAGCTTGAATTCCCTTTTTATTCTTATGCACTTTGAGTAAATCATATACTCTAATTTTTAACAATCTGTGTAAATTCATGTATGAATCGTGTTTTTATCACTTTACTCTTATATAAGAATTAGTGTATCTTTATAAGAAAAAGTTTAGCCTGAAGTTCTAGGTTATTTCTCCTCTGAAAGACGGAGAATTTGTTTGCTGGTCGACTGATTGAATCACTGATTAATTGTATCCCACTATCTTTAAATGTCGATTTATTTTTTCAAATTTTACATACTTATCACTTGTGAGTGGGGAGTTGAATTTGTATTGAGTTTAAAAAAAACAATTTTGAAGTAAAAACTACAGAATCGGGAAGTTGATTAACTATTTTCCATGTTATCTCAGTCGGTGAGTGATTGTTGGATCAGGTATCTGATGATGATTATAAGCAAGTAGAAATGTCAACGTATTTTCTTCGATTGGTTTTTGAGTCAGTGCATGTGGTTTGTATAAAATAAATAGCTTGAACTGTGCATTGAATAATTAACTCTGACTACTTTTAATTTGCGATGTTGATGAGTTAGTTACATCTGATAAGGAGAGACTTGTTTTTAAAGATATGACATGCAGTCGGAAGTTGTCAAAAGATTATTGCATTACTTTGACTTCGCTCCATGTTATGAATGCATCATGAATGATGACCACTAGCTCAAGCTCAAGCAACAGATGGTCAAAGGTTGTCTGCAATCGTTCGGCAATTGTTTTCAACTTCTGTTTGTCAAACTGCTTGTTTATCGGCTTTCTACCTCATTGATATAGTTAGAAATAGAAAGTAGTTTTTTAATTTTCTGTTACAGAATTTGAAATTAGTTAAATTTTTTGCACATATACTAGTCGGCAACTATCGAGAAGTCCACCAATTTGAAAAACTGTTTCATCATTATTCTCATACTGTTATAAAATTCAGAATTTCTCATTCATGTGTAGGTTTGATCATTCACTATCTTATATCTACAGATGGATGAAACTACTTGTTTTACAAGAAATATATTGACATAATTTACTGCTGTTGTACAGAAATGAGTGCTTATGTTATTGTTCTTACGGAATTATCTCAAATGATGACCAATTGATATTTTTCTATTCAATAGCACTATATCTTCTTTCAAATTTCTTAGTAAGAGTGATGAGTTCAAAGTTCGAGGAGAATGTTGTTTGAGAGGTTAGTTACTTACTTTATATTATTTCACTGGCATTGTTATTGCTCATTTTTTAACGCAAATTTCTGTTCTTCACATTTAAGTCTATAAATTAAATTTACTGCCTACGACGTAAAAACAAGTAAATTGTGCTGTCAGTATTCGCTTCCTTATTCTCTTTAATAGCATTGTTGCTATGTATCATTCGGTGATGGGAAATCATAAATGTATAATTAAAAGGAATTACGGAATTTCTTCATTCGATTCAAGTATGAATTATGTGTCGCTTTCATGGACTGAGAACAAAACATGTGTCGTCGGTACTTTTTTCCTTCACATTTTTGTTTAAATTGTTTATGCACTTGCCACATGTTTTAGATAATGTCTTATAATTTCATGTTTATTCATGTAGTAATTACCACCTTAAAGCTATTGTAGCGACAGGTGGGTAGCAAAAAAAAGTCGTGTGATGAAAAGCACTTTGCAATTCATGTGGGGACAATCACGGAACTTTGCTCTCATTTGCATAGTTTTAATAGATTTGGTGAGAGAGATGATTAAATTATTCCCTACATGTCTGTTATGAATTAAGATGAAAGGAAATATCACTAATTTGCAGTATTGTCTCTGCAACATGATTCTATGGTGCGTTGTACGACACCTGGTTGCACTGGTAAAGGTCATGTCAACAGCAACCGAACATCACATCGAAGTGTTTCAGGCTGCCCCATCGCATACCAGCAAAAAATGGCTCGTAAAGGTAGGAGGAAAGTATGATTTAAACTTCATCTGATAATATTTTTAGGCCACTAGGAAAAATATTCATAACTGAAACCATTAGAGCAAATATTCTCATTTCGCTGTTGTTTTTATTATTTTATCATTTAACTTTTCAGGTATTCGAAATATTACATTTGAAACGATACCTCCAACAAATTCTGCTTCTCCTTCATCTTCTAGCAGTAGTAATTTGTCTCCAATTGTACGTTCATCGTCATCATCTGCAACACTTGTTGACAATAGTACAACAAGAATAGTGGAATGTGTAAATGACACACCACTTGATTTAACGTTACGGAAGTGTAATCAAAATTTGGGCGAAAAAAGGTTGCCTTTGAAGAAATTTAAAAAATTTCTATGTGTGTGACTTGAGCATGTGACCGGTGCATGGTGAATGTTAATTGCGATAAAAAAATCGTTAAAGAAGTTAGTTGAAGCAGATAAATTCGCAATATATATTAGACATTTTATTTTTCATATCTGAAAGTAGTCTTTTGTTAGATATGACAACAGGTGTTCTCTATTTATTCAACATTTTTTTTGGAAGTTAAAATGACGTTTGATATTGCTGATATTATTATTATTATTATTATTATTATTATTACATTTTTATGAGTGTAAAATAGCTGTTGTGAGTATGAATGTGTGCGAGGCATTACTCATCTGAAAGTCATTAGCGGATTGGTGCTTAGAATATAAGTGTATGTATAAAGTTTAATATGATTGTGAATTACTTTAATTTTATTATTGAAATACAACGTACTCTGTCGTTTCTTTGTGTATTTTGCGTAAGCTCTCCAAAGAATTGATGTCAAAGTTAATTACAAATTCATTGAATAGTGAGGATGTGCTGCAAACAATGAGAAAAGTCTTTTGTTTCAAATTCTGCAGATTTCCTTGTCTACAAGATACAAGATAAGAGGGAGGCTTGATGTAATAATGATATTAGCATTTTGCTTACTGCTCTTGCAAGAAGAGCAAAGTTTCACTTATGCTTATTTACGGAAGGATTTGTTTGTTTGTTGCCTCTAAAATTTATCAACAAAGCAGTGGATTCAATTGTTAATCGTCATCATGATTTTTCCCTCTTCCTGTCTCGAGTAACGTACGTTGTATGCAAGCAAAATACGAAATATATTTGCTAATTTCTTTCAGAACTCTTGATTCAGATGATGGTTCACAGGTTAAAAGATCGAATACAAATGATATCGACCAACTTATAGACCAAAATGTCTCTTGTGATAATCGTGCTTCCCTCTCGATGATTACTCCATTTCTAGCTAGTAATTTTTAATTTATAAAACCGTCATATGTTGTAGCTGAAAATCAGAAGCAGAAGGCACTACCCCATTAGTTTTCCTGTAGAATAACATTTGTAATTTATGTTAATAGGGTGTTGATAACTTGAAGTGTTTTATTCACGAGCAAAGTATTGAGTGTTGTGGTGCTTATTTATCACAGATAATTAACTATTGTAGAAAATCTGCAGCATATTGTTGTGCCATAAGGATTTTTTATTCTAGCTAGTCCATCATCACAAAATGTGCTGAGTAAAGAAATGAAATGGATGTGCGAACAAATTGAGCTACCATCAAGGCATATGGCACTTGATACACATGCAGCCAAGTTAATACATGATTCTTATACCAAACGTCTGAATTTGGTGGCGACGCCTCCGTTAATCACTCCAAAGGTTACGGCTGCAGCACCTGCTGCTAGTTTAACTTACGATAGTGCAGTAGCAAGTTTTCATTTAAAGCAATTATTGTTGGCACAGTTGCAAGCTGCTGATTGTGCTGCTCATTCTTCTATGTTATCGGTGAACAGGGAGTGATGGTTGTAATAATTGTTCGAACTTTTCACTTTTGACCAGCTCCTGAAATGTCTCATCTACCTTAACAAATTTAGGATACTAATTAGTCTCATATTTCTACTTCGCTGAAGGAATGTTTTGAGATGGGTCAGTGCTTCGCGCTAAATTCTTTTCAAATCGATCATTTTTGTGATACAAAGAGAAAACTGATATAGTACGGATAATAACTGACTAATTTGTTGACTGATTGCTCCAAGTATGTACAGTACTGAATATTTTCATCTACTGCATAAGCATGTAGAAGCAGGTAACACTGCTTATATTGTCGAGTAAGTACTTTTCTTCTTTGGATTACGGGACTTCATAACACTTGATCTGTCTTTAGTAGTTGTGAACTGAATTTTCGTCTTTTTAATATATTTCGTGTGGTAAAAATAATTGTAAAATCTGATCCAAGGTGATTTAAGGATAAATCTCATCCAGTCAAAAATTTTTTATATCTGTGTCAAATATCGTATTCTATAGGTGCTGTTCTTACTGGAAATTGATTATTGTGAGGGTGCATTTCTTGTCGCGAACTAATCAAACAAACAGTCTTTTGTTTGCTTATATGTTTGGCTGCCAAATGTACTTCATTTTCTGAGTTGGTACTTTGATATGTCTTCAGTCTTACCTCCCCAAAGCAAGAAGACAAAGGTCCATCCATCGAATTCCCTTTTTAAGTTATCGAATTGGTTCAGAATTGCATTAAAATTCAGTTGATAAAATGGTGCTGTGAGAGTGTAGGAAAAAACTGACGACATATTCATTTCGCATCTTCTTCGTATTTCTAGCCCTCCATTATTCATTGTTTTTTGATGAATCTCCATTATTTTCACATAATAAACCTTCTGTATGCGCTGATTACTTATTCGTTTTAGCAACCTGATAGCATATGTATGTTAATATGCCTAAAGGGTCAAAGGTTAGCTAGCGATGAAAACAATCACTTGGCCTTTCTTTTCTTTTTGTTGATTATTATTATTCACGTTATTTCTCCTCAAAATTCTTTCCTTTTAATCTTTCGTAACGCTTCTATACTTCATTGTCAAAAGAAGGTTATTATAGTTCACGCGTCATATCCTAATATTTAATGCTGCCTAATCAGAGAAGAAATTAGCAAAGGGCAACATTTTTGCAGTTACTTTTCCGTTGGCATTTATTTTCTTTACGAATGTAAAGGAAGTGAAAGAAATTCTAATTTCAATTTTTTCCTAGAATTATTTTCAAATGACTCCCCTTCTATCACTATTGATAGCTGAAACTAATAAATGCTTTTCATGTGCTTTTGAAATCTCCTCGTTTTCTCACTTTAGGGATATCCGTTAGTTAATGCTTATCATGTTTATTTTTTCAAAACGGCAAAAAAGTGCTTTCAAAAGTCTTATTGGCTTTTTTAATCACGATTAGAGATATATTTGACTTTCCCTCTCCGTGAAATAATTTTGGCCAATCATCATATGCACTTAATAATTTTTCTGACGAGCGGGTTTTCTGATTTCTGCATTTGTGATTTAAGTAGCGATTTGTTATAATGACATCACAGTAAATATCAAGTTTATGGAATAGGTTGCGGGGGAAACGAATGATTTTGGCCAATCATCGTATGCGGTTATTCTAAACTTCCAATCAGCTGTCACCTTTTTCTTTCAACTTTGTATAAAGTTTGAGCATACGGTAGCAGATAAAATGACCAAGTTCAGCGATAATAGAAATACGTTAGCAAGTATTAAATCTTGATGATGTTTCAAAGATTTTTCATTAGGTAATGAATATGATGATTCAGCATTCGTAATGTATTCAGTGCAACATGTTGAGGTTTTTCTGTGATCAAGATTACAATTTGTCTGTGTAACCTTTGACGCTTGCTATTTTTGTTTTTCGGGTTTTTTTTTTTGCTCATATGACTTAGGTTTTTTTCATATAGTATTCAATACTAATGCATTTATTTTCGCAGTGTTTTATTGTTGTTACTTTTGACATTTGTTCTTATTATCATTGTGAATTAAATGAATGTTCTAGCCATGGTTATTGAGTCTTTTGTTGCATTGAAATGTTTTGTGGAAATTCCCAGAATCAGTTACTGATAGATGTTTTGCATCCATTATATATTGAAAGCTAATGTTTTACGATGTTGAAATAGTTAGTTTTTTGCAAGTTTTCATTTTTCATTTTATTGATGTCATATTTTTGTTTTGGAATTGCACGATATTTCTATACTGTCTTACTATGTCGTTGCAATCTCGTATACTTTGCTTACCACATGAATCAGTGAATTAACGAGAATGAAGAATCTTGCAAAAATATTTTTTGGCGACATAAGATTAATTATTAATAAACAAATTGTGATGTTTGATTGACTTTAAGTTTTAGTAAAAGTTTTCTCTTCTTAAAGATGTTATGCTCCTCATGTATTATGATGACTTCCATCCAGTAGCCGAAGATGGTAGAGTATGTTTTTAAGGGGGGTTTACGTTATGCGGAGTTAGTTAGTTTAGTTTCAGCAAAGTTGTGTTATAATTTTTTAATTAAATTCAAGAAGAATCATCGGAGAAGTAGTGCTAATCCTTGCTGCATTCTTGGCAAACATGACGTTTATTGACAATGTTTGTGGTCTGTGCGGTTTTTCTTTATCTTGGTAACTCTTGTTCTGAGAAGGATATGGAGCGAAACATCACGATTAGTATCGAACATTATTGTGGTCAGAACTAATGATTAAAGTTTGGGAGATTAGTTGGATGGTACTTCAAGTTTTATATTGGTTTGCTATTAGGATAACTGATGTATGTCAAGATTTCATTTCAGGTACCATTTGAAGACCATAATGGGCCGTAGTTTACTTTTTCAAGACTGGTGTCGAATAAGTAATAACTATTGTTAGCGAGTGGAAAAGCAGTGAAAGGATAAGCATTTTAAAAGCAGAAAGTAAATTTAATTATGAATTGTCTTCTTTGGTATGTTGACAACAATATGGCTGGAATACATCTGGTATCTTTGCTCAAGCAGAAAAGGTGTCTAGAAATTGAATTATAAATAAATGGATGAGTTGCTTGAATTACAGCTGTTGGCATATTAAAAGCGTGTGCTTATATCAGGTCGCACGGCAATAACAAATAGATGTAACCTAAATCTTGTTACTCGTTCTCGCTGTTGTTACTTTCAATGTTAGCTACATTGGTGCTTGGTTTTTGCTTTAACTTTTTGGTCCTTCTTATCGATTAGGGGTAATAAAGCTTAATGTAGTTTGAGGGGTAAGGAAGGTTACATGTAATCTTGCAATTAAGTAAGTAAGCATATGCAACCTGAGAAAGTAAACTTAATAATGGCGGCCTGGTTATTCAATGCGTTTCACTGCATTTAAGCAGATTTGATCGCAGATGTTTAAAAGTAGGGAGATAAGTGGAGACGAGGGAAAAGCGTTTTGGACTTCACAGAAATGAAATAATTATAATGTGTAGATCTAATGCAGTTTTGAGTAATAAAACTAAAAGATGATTAGATAAATACCTGCATGA